CGGCGCGCGGCCCCCGCTGCCCCCCGCCGCCGCGACCCCTGCGCCCCGCCGCCCGGCCCCGCGCCCCGGCCCCGGAACGAGTTCATGGGAGCATGAAGGAGATGGTAGGAGGCTGCTGCGTGTGCTCGGACGAGAGGGGCTGGGCCGAGAACCCGCTGGTCTACTGCGATGGGCACGCGTGCAGCGTGGCCGTCCACCAAGGTACGGGGCCCAGGGGTGGGTGCGCGCGAGGCGCCCCGGGCCGCGCCCTCCCGAGCCTCCGGGGGCGCGCGCCCCTCCCCCACACCTGGCCGGGCGCGCGGCGCGGGGCTCCCCCCGCCGGGTCCTGCAGGACCGGGTCAGGCATTGTTTTCTCGCCTATTGTTCCCGCCCCGCGCCCCTCGCCCCAAGTTGAGGGAGTTTGGGGAGAGTGCGGGGAGCGGGCGGCGAACTCCCTGCGCCTCGCGCCGCGGGTGTCGGGGCGATGTTTACCTGCGCGGCGTCCCCTCCCGCCCGGTTATTTTGGTCCTGGCTCCGGGAGGAAGAGGTCAAGGGGGGGTCATCCCCCCGCGCTTCCGGAGGCTGGGAGGAGCGCACTGGGGCGGGAGGAGGGGGTCCCAGGGGAGCGGGGACTCCGGGCGCCCTCCGGGGAGGAGCCGGGCACCGGGCGCTGGCGCGCGGGGGCCCGGAGCGCGGGGAGGAGGCGCGGAGTTTCCCCCGGCAGCACATGGCTCGGAGTTAACTCCTTGAGGAATCTTGCCCGGGGCGCAGGCTGGCATCTCCCGCCCGCCTGGCACGGCCCGCCGGGCCCCCCCTTTCTGGGACAGCCCTTAGAGTGGTGGCTGCCCGCTCTTCCCGCCACGCGCCTCTCGGAGACCTGCACCGCACCTGCCCTGGTTCTTGACTTTTGACCTGCACCTGTGATACTTACAGATGGAACGGCAGTCCCCTGGACCCCGACTTCCCCGCCCGGTCCCTTACTGGCCCTTTAAGAGTCCCCCCCCATAACAACAAAACGTGCTTGACGTTGACGAGTGGTGTTTCTCCGTCCTGATAGTTCCCGGTGCTGATGCCGGGGACTGACCCGGGGCAGGAGCCAGAACCGGGTTCAGAAAGGGCGTGGGGGGTAGGATCTTCTAGAAGTTTAAGGTCAAGGACTCAGACCGACTTCCCGCCACCGGGTTTGGAGTGGAGTAGTAGTTGCGGCAGTTGGGGGCTGGCCTTTTGTTGTTGGGGGTTCCTAGTGATCCTGCTGTTTTAGAATGTGACTCCCAGATAGGGGAGCACCCCCCACCCCTGCTGGAAGTGGCTCTAGAGCTTTTACTTTATTTGTTTGCTTTTCTGAGCCAGGGTCTCTCCACGTAGTCCAGGCTGGCTTTGAACTGTATGTTCAAAGGCTGTATGTTGGCGATCCTCCTGTCTCAGCCTCCTGAGTGCTGGAGTTGCAGGCTGGATTACAGGCATGCGTAGCTCTAGTCCTTTAGACTCACTCCCTTTCCCCCCAGATCCTCTGGGAAAAAGCAATGGCTGACAGCTTTGCTCCCAACTCCTACCCCCACCCCTAGCTTGCTATGGCATCGTCCAGGTGCCGACGGGACCCTGGTTCTGCCGGAAGTGTGAATCTCAGGAGCGAGCAGCCAGGGTGGTGAGTCCCATGCTGGGGGGTGGGGGGGCTCGCCACTGTCACCCGCCCAGCCCAAGACTTCCTGTCCCTGCACACCTATCACCAGCCCCATCTGACAGCATCCTTCCCTCTGCCCTGAGGAGTGCGGTTTTTGTTTGAACTTTTTATTATGGAAAGTTTTCAAAGCTGCTGAGTACAGGGACCTCAAATCAGATCCAGTCCCCACTGCGTTGGGTGATCCCCCACATCGTGTCATCTGGGGCGTTCTGGGTGCAGGTGGTGAGCCCCCACTCTGTGCTCCCCACAATGCCTGTGCTCCTTGCTTTGGCAGAGGTGTGAGCTGTGCCCACACAAAGACGGGGCATTGAAGAGGACAGACAATGGAGGTGAGGGGCCGGGCTCCTGCTGGCTTCAGTGAGGTCCAGGGAGGCAGGGCAGGAGGGGCACTGGGACCCCCAGAAGCTGTGGGGAAGGGGACAGGAGCACAGTCTGTGGCTGGGGCGGGTGCTGAGGTCCAGCACCGCCCGCTAAGGCCACCCTGTGCCGCCCCAGGCTGGGCACATGTGGTGTGTGCCCTCTACATCCCTGAGGTGCAGTTCGCCAACGTACTCACCATGGAGCCCATCGTGCTGCAGTATGTGCCCCACGACCGCTTCAGCAAGGTCAGCAGCCCTCTGGCCGCAGCCCCTGTGGGTCATGTCCCTGGACCCCTCAGCCCCTCAGACCAGTGGAACTTGGTTCTGTCCAGTCACCGCCTCCAGGGAACTTAGGCAGTGGGGAGCGCTCCAGTGGCCCCTGTGGATGGACAGACAGACATACACTAGTCCCTGGCACTTCCAGGCGCCTGTCTAGCAGCGTGGCCAGAGGCTGCTTTTTAGCTGGTAGTGCATTGAGTCTTTCACAGGACGCTTTATTGAGTGCCTACTGTGTCTCACCTGGTGCAAGAAACCAAGCACACTTTGTTCTGTGCTGATTAAGAGGGATGCACTAGCCAGGCATGGTGGCACACACCTGTTACCCCAACACTCTGGGAGGCTGAGGTAGAAGGATCCCAAGTTTGAGCCCTGCAGGGACAACTTAGTGAGATCCTATGTCATAACAAACAGAAAAAGACAGATGTGTTGCCTAGCAGTAGAACTCCTGTTCTTGTGTGAGAAAAGTGTAAAAACCAATAAACAGCAGACAAAGTAAACGCAAGTGGTGTAAGTGCTGTGAAGAAAATAAAGCATGGAAAGAAGGAATTCCTGGTGGGGGCTTCGTTTATGCCAGGCGGCCATGTGTAGGGTTTGTTGGTGGGTTTTCCTATGCTGGGGATCACACCCCAGGCCTGGGGCGTACTAGGTGGGTGCTCTGCCACTGAGCTACATCTGCAGCTAGACAAGGTGGCCGAGGGAGGAGACATACAGGCTGAGACCCGGGCATGAGGAAGAGGGCCAGTCCCAGACCCTGGCAGGAGAAATGGTACACACAGTGGCCCAGGCTCCTGGTCACCAGGGAGCAGGACTGCCACAGTCACTGGGCTTCAGGACAGTGCCATCCAGTCCAGTAGCCCCCAGCCACAAGGGCTGCAGAAATTCACCGGAACTTGATACGGTTGAGAATTCAGGTTGCATTACAAGGGCTCGGCAGTCCTTGACAAGGCGCTCCCATCTTGGACAGAGCAGACCAGAGGACCCCTTGTCCCCACACCCGTCTGGGGTCTGGGAGTGCATGGGATCATGTCTTGCAGACCTGCTACATCTGCGAGGAGCAGGGCCGGGAAAGCAAGGCAGCCTCGGGAGCCTGCATGACCTGTAACCGCCACGGGTGCCGCCAGGCCTTTCACGTCACCTGGTGAGAGCCGTGCCAGCCCCTGGGTCACAGTGGCCACAGCGGGTGTCCACCCTCGGCTGTTCCCTGGGCCATGGTGGATGGAGGAGGCGGCAGTGGCTGCTGTGGTCTGGCCACCCTGTTTCCCTTGATCACTGTCTCTTTCCCCTCGGTCAGCGCCCAGATGGCAGGCCTGCTGTGTGAGGAGGAAGTGCTGGAGGTGGACAACGTCAAGTACTGTGGCTACTGCAAGTACCACTTCAGCAAGATGGTGAGTGGCCGGCCGGCAGGATCGGGAGGGAGACGGGCCTAGAAGACGGCTCAGACCTGGCCTGTCACAACTTTAAGCAGCTACAAATAAAACTAAGAGCCACCAGTTGTGTGAGGAAGCCCGCACCTGCCAGACCCTGGCCTTTGCACTGTTTTGTTGTTGTTGTTTTGTTTGTTGAGACAGATGGTAAATCGAGGCTCCCTGAGGTTCTGTAACATATTCCACAGCTGCCAGTGGGCTTCAGAACAGGCAGTCTGGCTGGAAAGCCGCTCGGGCCAAGCAGTGCAGGCAGAGCCAGGAGGCTTGGGCAGTGGTATGGGTGCGCAGTGGTCTGGGATGAGGACACTGGGCAGGTGAGGACAGCAAGTGGCTCCTGCCCAACCTGGAGGGCACTGTCTCTTGTCCCGCACATAGCAGGGAGTCTGAGCTTGAGGCGCTGTGAAGCTCTGCTGCCAAGGCTGCAGCTCATGCCTACAGGAGGGTAACATGATCAGGTTTACTTTAGGAAGCTGACCGTGGCAGCCCCTGGGAGGCTGGGTGAAGGGCCGAGGCAGGCAGCTGGTAGACGGCTGGCTGGGTGCTGGGCCGCTCCAGGTAGACTGGGGCGGGGGGGAGATCCAGGGGGTCCAGGCCCTAGACCCAGGGGTGTCCTGGTGAGGGGTACCCTGGCTCCTATGGGCTACGCCTGCGTCCTGGTCCTCCCTGATGGCTCCATGGTGCCTGTTGCTCTGGTTCAGGATTAGCAGCCTCCCTTCCATTAGCACAAGTGGCTGTGAGTACATGGTGACCAGGTTGCTAGGGTTGGTGGTGGCTCTGGACAAGGTGTGGAGCTGGGTTGGTTTGCAGTGGGCCAGTGGAGCCGGTGAGATTCGGGATGCAGATGCACAGATGTACAGTTTACCCACAGGACAGGGTGAAGGAGCCGAGTAGGGGACCAGCTGGGGTGGATGAGGCCTGGGTTTGGCAGCTGGGAGGGAGCTGGTGACCTGAGCGGAGCAGCTGCAGACCTGGGACCTGGGAGTGGAGCGGGTAGCGTGAAGGGCGGGGCCGGCAGCCAGGCTGGAAAGAGAAGCAGTACATGCGATGCATGGGTTTTGTCATTTTCAGACAGGGTCTCGCTATGTAGCTGAGGCTGGCCTGGAACTTCTATGGATCCTCCTGCCTCAGGCTCCCAAGTGCTGGGATCCCAGGCGCACACCTCTGTGCCGAGCAGACCGTTTGGGTGTCATGGTGCTGGAGCAGCCTGTGTCTGTGTGTGAAGAAGGGTCGATGGCTAGGATGACGTGTGGAGTGTCCCACAGGGTCCCTACACATCTTCTACCCGAGGGGAACAGGCAGAAATAGGCTGTGGCTCAGTGGGCCCAGGATGGGCCAGGACGGTGCTAAGGAGAGGATAGCAGTGGAAAGCAGAGGCCTCCGGCCAGGACGCCTCCCTGCCTCTTCCAAGTCTGTTGTTGAATCTGAACACTGGAAAAGGCAGTATAGAAGCTGGGCGTGATGGCGCTTGGCTGGCATCCCAGCACTTGGGAGGCTGAGGCAGGAGGGTCACTGTGAGCTCTGGGCCAGCCTGGGCTACACAGTAAGACCCTGTCTCAAAACACCACCGAAAAAAAAAGAAAGCAGAGAAGCTGTAGAACCCACGGGTGGAGCAGAGCTCTGAGGCCATGAGGGCTGAGCTGGGCGGGCAGAGGGGACCAGCCCCAGGGTCCTGACCTTTAGGCAGCTGTCTAGCCATGAGAGGAGGGTGGGCAGCTGCTCCTAAATCTCTCCCCCAGAAGACATCTCGGCATGGTGGTGGGGGAGGAGCAGGAACAGGAGGAGCAGGCAGCGGTGGAGGCAGCGGAGGTGGCAATGGCGGCGGCGGCAGTGGAGCTGGCACAGGGGGAGGCGGCAGTGGCTTCGTTGCTGGCAGGAGGAGCCGGTCAGCCTCGCCCTCCACCCAGCAGGAGAAGCACGCTGCCCACCACGAGCGGGGCCAAAAGAAGGTGACGCACAAGAGACCCCAGAGGCCCAAGTCCCTGCCCCCACCCCTGGAGCCGACCCCTGCTTTCCTCGGAGGCCACTGTGGGGGAGGAAAGGGTGCGGAGGTGGAGTGAGGGTCCAGAGGGGACACGGGGCCCAGCTTCCCCAGGCTCTCCATGCCCCTGTGTCCCCCATGACATGGCCGTGGCCCTGCGTGTTTGTGACACCTCCACAGTCACGCTGGGCCGCCTGTTGTAAGAGAGTGAGTGCCTGTGTCCCACTGCCGCGCATCCCGGGGCCCGCCCTGCTGCACGGCACTGCCCTGCGTGGACACCCTTGCAGGTGTGGGCTGTGTCCCTGGCTGACTTTTAGCCGGCAGGGAGGACAAGAGGGAGGGGCCCTGGCTCTGAGGAGCGTGGTGAGCCTCCCCAGAAGGATGTGGCCCCACCGGCACGTCATGAGCCCCCTTCCCGGCCACCCTCTGCCTCAGTACCTGGTCATCTCTCCCCCAGAGTCGGAAGGACAAAGAACGCCTTAAACAGAAGCACAAGAAGCGGCCTGAGTCCCCCGCCAGCACCCTCACCCCGCCTGTGGGCCCTGCTGCTGACAAGGTACTGGGCTCAGAGGCTTGCCGTGCTGGCCCGCCCACGAGCACTGCCAGGTGCCACCTGTCTCCGTCCTGAGCCTCTGCTGCGGGCTCTTGCGTGCAGAGGGTCCCAGCCCTCCAGAGGGGGACAGAGCACCCTTCCACCAGAAGGGGGCGAGCCCCAAGCCTGTTGCCTGACCCCATTGCACTCTCACAGGTCTGAGGGCTGGGAGGGCTGCCTGTGGTGGCAGGGGACAGGCCCGCCGGCGACACGCTGGCACCTTCCCAGCAGGGGCCACATCTGGATGAGCAGGAGGCCAGGGAACCGCTAATCCAAGCCAGATCGGCCTCCTGCCTGCCCTCCCTGGGCCTGGAGACACCGCTTCCTCCCGCCTGGCCCCACACTGCCAGTCACCTCCAACTGCCCGGGACACCTGGCAGGGCTTGGGGCATCGCAGCTGAGGCTCCGCTCTCAGGTTTCCAGGGTGATGCTGCTATGGCAACTACCCCAGTCACCTGTGCCCACCCTGCTCCGGGGCTCACGGGGAAGGCGTGTCCCTTGTGCCCCCTGTCCTTCTGGGGGCCTGCAAGCAGGTGGAAAGACCTAGGGGTTCCCAGGAACCCGTGTCCCCTTCGAGAGCCCTGGGATCCACCCCCTCCCCCGGCCCTCTGCTCCCTGCTCAGTACCACATCTGGCTGCCTTCAGAACTCCAGCTGCTGAGAACAAAGAGGAAGACAGGGACCAGGGCTTCGCCTGCGCTGGGAGGGGCAGTGCCGGGCACTCGCTCCTGTCCACCCTGGCTGTGCTTTCCACTGGGCACAGCAGTGTACCCCGTACTTGGCCTGCCCCAGAGGCCAGGCGCCTGCTTGCCTTGTAGTGACAAGCGGAAGGGTTGGGTGTGTACTGGGAGGGCCTCAGCTAATCTCAAAGTGACCCCACAACACATGGGCATTTCACAAGCCCCATCTGATAAGTGCAGAAGCTGAGCCTCAGAGGTTAAGTAATTGGCTTCAAAGCACACAGCAAGCACGGGTACTCAGGGTTCAAGTGTGAGTGTTCACCTGAGGCCTGTGCGCCTCACCCCACAGGGCACTGTTTGCTGGGCTTTCAGCAGACTGCACCCCCAGCTCCTCAGAACTCCCCAAACCTGTGGACTCCTCCTGTGAGGACACTGAGCTTAACTACACACCACGTTGTGGCCACTCCCCACTGCCCTAGCCAGGTTTCTGGAGCCCAGACATGGATGGGACATTCAGTGCAGTGTGGCAGCTGCTGGCATGCACATGAGGGTGTGCGGTGCCCTGGGAACAAGAAGGCTGAGGGCCTGGGTGTGGTGGCACACACTTGGGATGCTAGTGACTTGGGAGGCTGATGTGGGTTTTGCAAGTTCAAGGCCAGCCCAGGGAAATTTAACAAGATCCTGACTCCAAATAAAAAAGGTGGGATATGCTGGTGGCGCATGCCTGTCATCGCTGTACTTGGGATTGTACTGAGGCAGGGACTGCCTGGAGTTCAAGGCCAACCTGGGCTACTAGTGAGACCTTATCGCAAAGGAAAACAAACGCTGGTGTAGCTCCATGGCAGAGCCCTTGCCTAGCAAGGATGTGGCCCTGGTTTCTGTCCTCAGTACCACCAAAGAAGGCAGAGAGACTTCCACCCTGGGCATCAAGGGAGGCTTCAAAGAAGTAGAGATTCTGGGCTCCTTTATACTTTTTAATGTTTTGTTTTGGGAGGGGTTTTTTTTGGTACCAGGGATTGAACTCAGGACATTGTACTTGCGAGGCAGGTGATGGCACTACTGAGCTAAATCCCTGGCCCATTTGTTTTGTTTTTTTAAAATGGTTTCACTGTGTAGTTCAGGTTGGCCTTGAACTCAGGGTGATCCTCCTGCCTCAGCCTCCTGAGTGCTGGGATTCCAGACATCCACCACCACGCCTGGCTCATTTATTCATTTATTTTTTCTGTACCAGGGATTGAACTCAGGACTGTGTGCTTGCAAGGCAGGCATAGCACCACTGAGCTAAATCCCCAGCCGGCTCATTTATATTTCTTGAGACAGCGTCACATCTTCCTGTGTCTCACTCTTCCTCTCTGCCCTCCCTCAGGTCTCTTCCTCGGCTTCCTCTTCCTCCCACCATGAGGCCAGCACTCAAGAGACCTCGGAGAGCAGCAGGGACTCCAAGGGGAAAAAGTCTTCCAGCCACGGCCTGAGTCACAAGGGGAAGAAGCTGAGCAGCAGTGGGAAAGGTGTGAGCAGCTTCACCTCCACCTCTTCTTCTTCCTCCTCTTCTTCCTCCGGGGGGCCCTTCCAGCCTGCAGGTGAGTGGGGCCTCCAGGGGAGGCTGAGCTGCACGTCTTGCCCTGGCTTTCCTAGCAAGGGTTCTGCATAGCAGTTTGCATCTTGCTTGCTTTTTTTTTTTTCTTGTGGTACCTGGGATTGAACTCGGGACCTTGTGCTTGTGAGGCAGGCGGCAGAATCACTGAACTAAATTCTTGGCGTTTTTTTTTTTTTTTTTAGACAAGGTCTTGGTACATAGTCCAGAGTCCAGGCTGGTCTTCAACTCACTATGTAGCCCAGGCTGACCTCAAACTTGCAATCCTCCTGCCTCAGCCTCCCAAGTGCTGGGACGACAGGGATGCACCAGCATGCCTGATGTGCAGCCCATTTGCTTTTTTTTTTTTCTTTTTTCAGTACCCAAGATCGAACTTGAGGCAGGCGTGGTGCTACTGAGCTAAATCCCCAGCCCTTCATTTCCTTGTATTAATGCAGGAGAAAGGGGGAATTCCCAGCCAGGGTTCTTCTCTGGCTACCCCTCCCATCCTGCCTCTGACACTGTCCTGGAAGGGGCCACCCTCCTAGCCCATAATGGTGTTCATCGTCCCCTGCATGTGTGCTCCAGGGGGCATTTAAAGCGCCAAAAATAGTATTGGTTTCTGGACCTACAGTCATCCAGTGAGGTCCCCAGAGAGGGAGTTTCCATCCCCAGTTTTGGTTATTTGAGATGAAGTCTTGCTATGTAGTCCAAGCTGACCCTGAACTCACTATTGGAGCCCAGGCTGGCCTTGAACTTGAGGTGACCTTCCTCCCATTTGTTACCGGTGGGTGAGCTGGGCACTGAGGGTTGCTCATCCAGGACATGGAGCTGGGCAGAGGGAGCAGCTTCTGCCACTGCCCCCAGTCAGAGGGTGTGGCTGTGGGAGGGAAGGGGGGACCTGGGCCCAGCCCTGACCCCCTTCCCTTGCATGCAGGCTCCTCCCTGCAGAGCTCCCCTGACTTCTCCGCCTTCCCCAAGCTGGAGCAGTCGGAGGAGGACAAGTACTCCAAGCCCGTGGCCCCCACCGCATCGGCCCCGTCCTCGCCCTCAGCCCCAGAGCCCCCCAAGACTGACCTCTTCGACCAGAAGGGGGTCTTCTCCGGCTTTGGGCCCATCATGCGCTTCACCGCAGCCTCCAGCTCTGGCCGGGCCCGGGCCCCCTCCCCTGGGGACTATAAGTCTCCCCACATATCCGGGTCCGGGACATCAGCCGGCACCCACAAGCGAATGCCCGCTCTGAGTGCCACCCCAGTACCGACCGAGGGGTCCCTGGAACCGGGGCTGAAGGAGAAGAAGCACAAGGCTAGCAAGAGGAGCCGGCACGGGCCAGGCCGGCCTAAGGGCAGCCGGAACAAGGAGGGCGTGGGGCCCCCCGCAGTCCCCACCCTGCCTGCTGCCCAGCTCGCTGGCTTCACCGCCACAGCTGCCTCCCCCTTCTCTGGGGGTTCCCTGGTCAGCTCTGGCCTGGGGGGTCTGGCATCCCACACCTTCGGACCTTCAGGGAGCTTGCCCAGCCTGAGCCTGGAGTCCCCCCTGCTGGGAGCAGGTGAGTGACCCCAAGGATGGGGAGGGACAGGGGCATAAACATGTTATCAGAAGGAAGGTGCTAGACACTGGTTCAAAGGCTGGGCGTGGTGATGCACACCTGTCATCCCAGCACTAGGAGGTCGAGGCAGCAAGCCCTAGGACTGCAAGCTCTGGGCCCTGTCTCAGCAAAATAGAAAGGGCTGGAGATGTAGCTCACTGTGAAGGCCCTAGGTTCCACCCCCAGTACTGGGAAGGGACAGAAACAAAGCTGGCTTCCAAGAAAAGATGGAGGTGATGATCCCCTCAACATGCCCCTGTACCAGTCACCTGTACCGTCATCCTGGGAGACAGTGGTGCTAATTGCAGGCGGGACTTAACAAGTTTGGGGGACAAGACAGTCTAGAGCACAGGTACATCAAGCTGTGTCACCCCAGCCAGAGGCGCATTAGACAGGTGTGTGGGCAGGTCCCCAGGGTGTCCCAGCAGTCCCAGCCCCGACTGAGGAGGTGACCCCGTGTCTGCTGTCCTCCTTGTCCCTGTAGGCATCTACACCAGTAATAAAGACCCCATCTCCCACGGTGGCAGCATGCTGCGGGCTGTGTGCAGCACCCCCCTCTCCTCCAGCCTGCTGGGGCCCCCGGGTACCTCGGCCCTGCCCCGGCTCAGCCGCTCCCCTTTCACCAGCACCCTGCCCTCCTCCTCCTCTGCATCTATCTCCACCACTCAGGTGAGGCCCTGCTCCTGCCTCCTGCCCCTTCCTGGGGGTGGGCTGCGCTGGGACCAGAGTGCTCCCCACCCCAGAAACAGCTGTGCCTGGGGCCCCGGAAGCCACCCTGCCGGTTTCACTTCTCCCAGGTGTTCCCCCTGGCTGGCTCCACCTTCAGCCTCCCTTCTACCCACATCTTTGGGACCTCTGTGGGCACCACGAACCCCCTGCTCACCCAGGCGGAGAGCAGCCACGCAGGTAGGAACTGGGACCCTGTTGTCCTCCACCAGACCTGAGCACTGTGGTGTCAACCCCTCCCTCTGGCCAGTGCCTGCCCTATGGGAAAGAAATGAAAAGTTCATGCGACAAACCTGAGGACCCTGGGCAGGAGGATCACAAGTTCAAGGCCAGTCAGGGCATGTGTGTAGGGAGACCCTGTCTCCAAATGCAATGGGCTGAGAATGCAGCCCAGCACATGAGGCCCTGGGTTCCAAAACCAAAACAGAAGGGGCCAGGCAGGCAGAATTACTGCTTTATCTCCTAGAGCTCAGCCCGGGGCTCTGGCCCTGCAGCAGTTAAAGGGCTGCCTCCCGAGCCCCGCCCTCACCTGGCTAGAGTCGGGCTGGCCCCTGAGAGCTGATTGGATGCAGACCACCCAGGGTGCTGGGGCGGAGCTTATCTTCCAGCCACAGGTGGGGTAAACTTTAAAGGCACCAACGTTGGCACACGTGTGTAATCCCAGCACTCTGGGAGGCTGAGGCTGGAGGATCAAGAGTTCTAGCCTAGCCTGGGCAACTCCTCGAGACCCTGTCTCAAACAATTAAGAAAAGAGGGGTGGTGCTGGGGAGGTAGCTCAGAGAGAAGGCCCTGGTTCAATCCCCAGTACCAAAGGGAGGGGGTCTGATTCTAGGGTTACAGTTCTAAAACCCAGAGTAGGATTCTGTGGCCCGACGCAGTTTTGCCTTCTTCCTTGGGAGTTTATGGTTATAAAGTCAGGCAAAGCTAATTACAATAATATTAGTTATTAAAGGTTGCTGCATGCCACCCAAACCCTCCAACTAAATTTTACCTTAGTCCCTTATTTCGGTCTTAATAACAGTCACTTCAGATAGGAGGTCACGCAGCAAGGTAGCGCGTCAGGTTACAGTTCAGTCCGGGCTGCTGTCCACCTCAAATCTCTGAAACTTTGAAACCGGGAGGCGCATCTGAAGTAGGCTGGAGAACCGGCGAGGAAGCCCCCAGAGGGCAGGGTTTCAAGCCCAGATCCTCGTGCCTCATCTCCGGGGTTGGTATCTGGGGAGGGGGTCTGCGCTGAGGTTCCAGACCCCGCATCCACCTCCCAAGCTGGGACCCTGTGGCTGACGGCCTCCTCCCCCGCTGACCCCTGCTCTCCCTTCTTCCAAGAGCCAGACCTGGAGGACTGCAGCTTCCGGTGTCGGGGGACCTCTCCCCAGGAGAGTCTGTCTTCCATGTGAGGGAGGGGGCGGCGGGGGGCGGGGCCGGGAGGGGGTTGGGCCGGGTTGGAATCCCCGGGGGGGGGGGGCCTGCCGCGGGGGGAGAGGAGCCTGAACCCACCTTCGCCCCCGGACCCAGGTCCCCCATCAGCAGCCTCCCTGCACTCTTCGACCAGACCGCGTCTGCACCCTGCGGCAGCGCCCAGCTAGACCCGGCGGCTCCGGGGACGACTAACATGGAGCAGCTGCTGGAGAAGCAGGGCGACGGCGAGGCCGGCGTCAACAGTGAGGAGGGTGGCGCCAGGCGGGCGGGAAACCTGCCCTTGGCCCGCGCCCACTCCCTCCCAACCCCTTCCGGCCCAGACCATCAGCGTTCCACTTCCGCCCACGCCTGCTCCCCTCCTGCCGGGAGCGCCAGGGCCCGCCCCGGCCTCACACCTGTGGCCTCCAGGCGCCGGGTCGGCTGTGGGGTCGGGCCACGACCCCGCGCTCGCGCTCGGTTGGGTGATCTGTGGTCCCGCCCCGCCTCAGCCCGGGTTCCCGGCCTGTCAGCCACCCCCCCCACCCCCACACCCCCGGGCTCAGACCACCTTGGCCCCTGTCTCCGCAGTCGTGGAGATGCTGAAGGCTCTGCACGCGCTGCAGAAGGAAAACCAACGGCTGCAGGAACAGATCCTGAGCCTGACGGCCAAGAAGGAGCGGCTGCAGCTTCTCAACGTGCAGCTCTCCGTGCCCTTCCCCTCCCTGCCTGCTGTCCTGCCTGCCGCCAACGGCCCCATCCCTGGACCCTACGGCCTGCTCCCCCAAGGTGAGGGGTCCTGTCCAGCCCGGAAGTAGGGGTCCCCAGCTGGCAGCTGGCACTGCCCCCTCCAGCCTTGACCTCCTATTCTCCTGCAGCCAGCAGCGACTCCCTGAGCACCAGCAAGAGCCCTCCAGGCAAGAACAGCCTCGGCCTGGACAATTCGCTGTCTACGTCTTCTGAGGTGGGCACCGCGGGGACGGGGTGTGGGGGAGACCGAGGGTCCCGGTGCCATCTGTACCGTGCACCTCTTGGAGGCTGCACCCCTCTTTGTGAGGTTCTGCTCGGGGCCGGGCACAGGCTGGGCAGGCCTCGACCAATGCCACACGGCCTCCTGAAAATGGGCTACGTCCAGGAAAGCAATAAATACCCCCTGGGAGAGGGCTAGGAGGCCACGGGGAGCGGGGGAGGGACCCTCGGGTGGGCTGATTAGGACGGCCCTTGGAGAAATGCTCTGAAGGGTTTATTACAGTGCCTCACATGAAGTAATTCCTGCATAATTGGTGGTGGTTGGAATAGCAGTTTCTATTGTTCTGTTGTGGTTATTATTGGACTTGAAACAAACTGGGCTCTTGTTCTCTGCTACTTACAAACTGAGACTCCAATCATAATCATAACAATAACTAACATTAATTGCCTGCCTGCCGTTCATCATCCCCATTAGTTTTTCTGGTCTTCACAATGATCCTATGGAATCTGTACTATTACCGCCAGTCAGGAATGGGTAGGCTAAGTTGAACCTAAGGCCGCCAAGCCTGTGCATTGTGGATACGGGCTTCGAACCAGTCTTTTAGCCCAGCCTTAGCTTTCATTTTACCATAAAATGGGAGTCACGGGTGTCCAGGGCAAGCCCTGACCTCAGGATCCAGGTCCCTGGAAAGTCACTGCAGTTATCCTTGTCCCTTATTAAGCAAGGGTGACGGGGTGCTTGGTGCCCAGGATGCGGGCAGTAACATGGCTTTCGGCGAGGGTTTGGATTCCCAGCCTTTGTTCTTGGCCTGGCTGCTTCCCAGGGTACCTTGGGGTGCAGCAGGTGCTGGGCTGGGCACCAGAAAGGCCAAGCTGGTCCTCTGACCCCCCACTCCCTCCCTCCCCAGGACCCACACTCAGGCTGCCCGAGCCGCAGCAGCTCATCGCTGTCCTTCCACAGCACGCCCCCACCGCTGCCCCTGCTTCAGCAGAGCCCTGCTGCCCTGCCCTTAGCCCTGCCTGGGGCCCCTGCGCCACTCCCGGCCCAGCCACAGAATGGGCTTGGCCGGGCACCTGGGGCAGCAGGGCTGGGGGCCATGCCTGTGGCTGAGGGGCTGCTGGGGGGTCTGTCGGGCGGTGGGGGCCTGCCCCTCAATGGGCTTCTGGGGGGACTGAATGGGGCTGCTGCCCCCAACCCTGCAGCCTTGAGCCAGGCTGGTGGGGCCCCTGCGCTGCAGCTGCCAGGCTGTCTCAACAGGTGAGGCCCTGGGAGGGAACGTGAGGCTGAGTCGGGAGGGTCTGCCAACACGTTGGCCCCACAGGGTAGTGGCCCTAGTGCGCTGTTGGCCTCTGGGGACCCCCTAGACTAGCACTCCTCAGTGCCTCAGGAGTAGCAGGTGGGGACAACCCCCACCTTGGTGTTCCTCCTGGGACTGCTCCCCATTCCCTGCCCTCCATCTCTCCCTGAGCTCAGTCCTTCAAACTGTGCTTCCTGCCTCTCCTCACCCTGCCCCGGGGAGGAAGGGAGCCTGTGGGGGCGGGGAGATGTGCACCCTGTCTCTCCCAGCCACGTTGCCTGTCCTGCCTCAGCCTCACCGAGCAGCAGAGACACCTCCTTCAGCAGCAGGACCAGCAGCTCCAGCAGCTCCAGCAGCTCCTGGCCTCCCCACAGCTGACCCCGGTAACGTCCCCCCTCCAGCGCTGCCAGATCAGGGCCAGCGGGGTGGGGGCTCCCGGCTGGGCAGGGATGGGAGGCTGGTGAAGGGCAAGGGGTGCCTCTGGGGCCCCAGATCTCCAACAGGAAGAGGGGAACTGGGTGCTCGAGTCCCACTTCAGCCAGACCAGTTTCTTTGGGGCCTCCACGTCCATTGTGCTCTTTGAGATTTCATTCCAGGAAAAAGGATTTTGCCTTTTAGCAACCAGGGCAGTGAAAGCTGGGCGTGGTGGCAGTATGGGTTCATGCCTATAGTCCCAGCCCTGTGGGAGGCTGAGGCAGGAGGATCGAAGGCTCAGGGCTACCCTGGGCTGCTTATCAACTTAGCAAGATACTGTCTGAAATAAAGAACAAAGTAATACAAAGCTGAGATATGATAAATAACGAAAAGCTCACTGATAGTGTTTGCCTACATGCATGAAGCCCTGTTTCCAGTCTCCAAAACCATAAAAAAATAAAAATGAAGAGATTAAGAAAATAGGAGATAAGGCCTGGGATTTATCTCAGTGGCACCTCACCAGCCTTAAGTGCAAGGTCCTGAATTTGATCCCTGGTACCAAGAAAAAGAAAATAGGAGATACTAACATTTTCATGTAAAAAACGCTAGAAGACCAGAAAATAGCTGATTACTCACGGGGCCAGATGAGAACAAGAATAGGAAGATTTTTGTAAGGTAAATTTTGATCTATCATTTTGACCTTTGTTTTTTTTGTTTTGTTTTGTTTTTGGTACTGGAGATCGAACTCTGGTCCTTGCGCTTCCAGGGCAGGCAGAGGCACCACTGAGCTAAATCCCCAGCCCTATTATTTTGACCTTTGGACCACAAAATGCTTTAGCCATTGAAAGTAAAATGATTCTTAACAATAAAAGGTTGACCCAAGTTCAGTCCCTAGTACCAAAAAAAACCAACAACAATAAAAGGTTGGAGGGCCAGGGATTTAGTTCAGTTGTGCCACGCCTCCATCAAAAGCACAAGGTTCTGAGTTTGATTTCCAGTACCAAAAAATAAAAAGTCCAGGAATTGAAAACTGGTGTTAGCCGGGCATGGTGGTGCATCCCTGTAATCCTAGCGCTCAGGAGGCTGAGGCAAGAGGATCACCAGGAGTTCAAGGGCAGCCTGAACTACATGGTGAGACCCTGTCCCAAAAAATGAACCAGTGTTTCCCAACTTGGGATCCACCACCCTTGGAGCATTTGTGGTTGTTTAGGAATGGAGGGCCTGATTTAGTGGGCAGGGCCAGGGATGGCAGTGCTGCCCTTGGCCAGCAGTCCCCAGTTGACAAATGCTGACTGTGTGCAGCCCTTTTCTTTTCTCTCTCTTTTTTTCTTTTTCTTTTGTGTGTTTTTTCTTTGGTTTTGGCTGCCCTTGAACTCACTATGTTGCCAAGACTGGCCTTGAATTCATGGCGATCCTCCTGCCTCAGCCTCCCAAGTGCTGGGCTCATACGTGCGTGCCACCACGCCTGACTTTTCTGGTTTGGATGGGGAAACAGGCCTAGAATGGGGTGTTACGAGACAGAACCCCGATGGTCCCCCTCCCTCACCTCGTGCTCAGGGTGGTGGGCAGTGCTGGCTGGCGGTGTAGGAAGGGACCATAAGAAGCAGTCGGCCCCTTGCAGGAGCACCAAGCCGTGGTCTACCAGATGATCCAGCAGGTGCAGCAGAAGCGGGAGCTACAGCGGCTGCAGATGGCCGGGGGCTCCCAGCTGCCCATGGCCGGGCTGCTGGCCGGAAGCTCCACCCCGCTGCTCTCAGCTGCATCCGCACCAGCCCTACTGCCCACCGGAGCCCTGGTGGCCCCCTCTCTGGGCAGCAACACAAGTCTCATGGCTGCAGCAGCTGCAGCTGCTGCTGTGGCAGCAGCAGGGGGACCCCCGGTCCTTACTGCTCAGACCAACCCCTTCCTCAGCCTGTCGGGGGCCGACAGCAGTGGCAGCGGCCCCAAAGGAGGGGTGAGTAAGGGCTCGGGGCCTTCCTGGCTGCCTATAAAGGGAGGTGCAGGGATGGATGGTCAGCGGATCCCTGGTACAGAACCAGGAAAAAGCTACTGTGAGTGGGGTTGGTGGGAAAAGGACCAATTAGAAAACAGCCTTCCACCAGGCATGGTGGTGCATCCCTACAATCCCAGCACTCAGGAGGCTGAGGCAGGAGGATCGCTGCAAGTTCAAGGCCAGCCTGGGCTACATAGTGAGTTCAAGGCCAGCCTAGACTACATAGTGAGACCCCGTCTCCAGAAACAAAAACAAGGGGGCAGGGACGAGTCTGCCTTACAAGCGGGCTCTGTAGGGACCAGCAGGAAAAGGGGATAGAGCCCAGCCCTGGAAGCTGTCCTTGGCTGGCACATGCCTGGGTCTCCTCTACCCTGACAGAACCCCCGGGGTGCCCTGTCCCAAAGCTGCAAGGCTCCAGCCTCCCTGTCTTTCCAGGCTGCTGACAAAGGAGCCTCAGCCAACCAGGAGAAAGGCTAACCCCAGCCCTGCCCTTCCTGAGCCCTGCGTGGAGGGGACAAGATCCTGGCTGGAGGGCTGAGCCTGGAGCAGGCGGCTGGGCCCAGACACTGGCAAGCCTGGCCTGGGGCCCATGCAGAGGCCCAGGGCACATGGGGAGCGTGGAGCCGAGGACGGGGCTGGGAGGGCACCTTCCATCAGGCCCTTCCCTCCGCGCTGGCCACTGGGAGAGGCTCCAAAGGGGGCGGCTTGGGGCGCCCCGAGAGCAGGGCACGCCATGGGGTGAGTGGGGGGTCATGGGACCCACTACGTAAAACAGATCAGCACTTGAATGCGGAGAAGGGAAGGGGTGGCCCTGGGACTGGCCCCACGTTGAATCTTTAGGGAAGAAGGGGCCCCTCACTAGGAGTTTCTTCCCCACTTGGGCAGGTGGCAGAAGGGTCCCTTCGACTGTTTCTCACTGTCCCCTTCCCCACCTAGGGTCACAAGCTGAGCTTGTAAAAGCCTACAGATGTAGGGGCTGAGGAAGGGCAGGACATTGGTGTTAGCCCGGGCCTCCGGCACCTGCGGGGGGAGCTGCGCTAGGTGGGGAGGCCCTGGCTGTCCTCAGCACCCCGCTCCTTGTTTGCACTATTGGCTGGAGGAGTGCTGAGGGTGGGGAGAGGCGTGAGTGCATGAGTGTGTGCGTGTGGTGTGTCTGTCGTCTGTCTGTCTTCCCCCGGACCTGGGGCAGCTGAGGGCAGGGATAGAGGAGAGGTGGTTGGCACCAGCAGGGAGCTCCAGCTCTGGTCTGTGCTCTCCTCACCTTGCCACTCCAGTCCCTTTCTGGGCACAGCAGGGCAAGGAAATCCCGAAGTACACCCTGGTACCAGAGAGTGGCGGGGTGGGGCTCGGAGTCAGCGCGGTGTCCTGCCTTCCCTCCCTGTTCCCCACTTGGTCTCAGGGCCCCCTACCCCCTGCTAGTGTGACCCTTCCCTGGCAGGAGGGGAGTCCTGGGGGTTGGGGGAGGGGACAAGGGGGGAAGTGCCACTTCTTTTAGGAAAAGTCCTATTTCCAGAATTAGCCAGCCTGGCTCCCACCCCTACCAGTGACGGAGCCACTAAACTGACCTAATGCTGTCCCCTCACCCACAGCTGTGTCCCGGGTGCAGCGGGCAGTGCTCACCATGGCACAAAGGCAGGGGCCCTATTCAGTTGCACTGGGGTGGACGCCCCGATCTGTCCGGCTTGCATGTGTGCATAACTGTGTGTGTTTCTGCTCGGGTTTTTGTTGTTGGTGGGGTTTTTGTTTTTGTTTTTGTTTTCTAATAAAGAAAAGAAGATGTGTATATTTTTGGCAATGACAGAAATGTAGTGCAGATATATTTTTGCCTGTGCTGCTCAACTGTTTTTTTTCTGATACGAGAAATAATATTAATATTCCTGTTGATAGGACTTTGTAAGACGTTAGGGCGCTAATGGACGGGGTGGGTGGGAATCCTTCTGAGGAGATTTCTTAGCACTTGCAAGGGCTTGGGGGTGGGGGGAAGGGACAGTTGTGATGACCTCAAAATACTCATTTTTTATTAAATGCTAAATATCAGTTAGAAAGACATGTTAGAACTGAGCATTTTATTCATCTTAATCTGTTTTTTTTTGGGGGGGGGGATCGAACTCAGGACCTTGCGCTTGCAAGGCAGGCGCCGAAACCACTGAGCTAAATCCCTGGCCCTCTGTTCTGCTCTTTAACTCCCTGTCCCCAAGGCACTGTAAAACAGAACAACCTTCAAAGATACTTAGAAGAGTTGCTCCTTCCTACGCTGCCCTTGCCCAAGGCTGAAGGCCACTTTGTCCCCTCTGTCCTGGTGGAGCGGACACACACCGAGAGAGGCTGCGGTGTGAAGCCGGGGAAGGGTTAGTGCACTGGAACAGAGCCCCCCAGCCTGTCACCTCCGTCTCTGAGTCTGTCCCCCAAGTTTCCCAAGCCCTTTGTGCCCCTTAGGCTGGGAGGCTGTGGTGGGGAGGCCAGGCTTGGGGACATGGGACTCTAGACAGCCAGTGGCCCTCTTTCCAGTGGAGCCTACTAGGAAAGCTGTGAAGAGCCTTGGGAGGGACAGGACGCAGATGCAGAAGGAGGGCTGTACGGCCTTCACCTCCCGACCTCAGTCCAGTTTTTGACAGTGAACTTGGATGGGTGTGTGTGTGTGTGCGCATGTGCGCGTGTGCAGATTTGTGGTGCTTGGTCTGGGGGAGGGGAAGGATGTGGTTTGCAGAGCGGAAGTGGTGTCTGAATGCTTGGCTGGAGCTTTGTGTGTCCCCACCTTCAGCAGGGAGATGTGAGTGGATGTAGGTGCTGGGCCCCAGCTGAGGGGTCACACCTAGGGGTGGGGTGTCAGCTGGCCCTTGGCTTCCCTGGTGACAGCTCCAAGCCCCAGGAGGGTAGGGACTCTGATAGAGCCAGGACCTGGCCACCTGGTCTTTGGCTCCCTTGCCAGCTGGCCGTGTGTGTGTGTGTGTGTGTGCGCGCGTGTGCGCGTGCAGGTGCAGGTGCAGGTTGAGAGTCTGTGTAGCGCTAGCTATCAGCTCCAAGCTGACGGGTCCTCTTCATAGGCAATGACACTTGAAGGGGTGCCTTTAAAGAAAAGTTTGTCCTATTTGTAGGTTTTAGGCTCTGGGGTCTCCTGCTGCCTCTTGGGGTCTCTGACTTTGAGGTCGGTAAGGGAGCCCCTGCCTTTTTCAGTGCTGAGACCTAGGGAAGTCATCACCCCAGACTTAAGAGACAGATGAAGGGTGTATGAGCCAGGGCCACCTCTGAGAAGGGGTGACCTTCATGTGTCCTTGTGCCAAGCTGGACATGCTGGACAACTTTGCCGAGACCCAGGCTCCCCTGGAGCTTGCAGCATCTTCCTGGTGTGGAGCAGGCCAGAGGGAGAGTTCCCCATTCTGTATCCCGATGTTTCCTGGGAAGAAGGATGGAGTGGGCTTTCTACTGAGGGTAGAGGAAGGTAGAGCCGAGCAGCCCTGGCTACCCTGGGCTCACCAAAACATGTCTCCTTCCACCCGGCTGCTTTGTCTTGCTCTGAAGAGCTGGGGACTGGGTAGTGTCCACAGTTGCCTGGTGCCCCTGTTCTCCAGCTCAACGTGGGAGTCGGGTGGTGGGACTGCAGACCCAGACCCTGGCTCCCCCTTTGGTCCCAGCCTATTTACGTGTAGCAGAACCTTTCCAAGAGGCAGGGAGGGCCAGCCTCAGTTTGCAAACCCAGAGGCCGCTTTGTCATTCTTTCTGAAGCCTCCTTTATATCCTCGCCCGAAAAGGCAATGCCCCCATCCTGCACCTCCAAGCCCGGAATTGTGCATAACCTGGACCTTGTATCTTTGTATACCAGATGTTATTTGTATGAAGGGCAGATGTAATTTGTACGAAGGGCAGTTCGTAAACAGCACTTGTTCTTTTAATAAAAGACTTTTACAAAAAAACCAAAAAAAATCCAGAGAGACCTTGCTTTGTCTGGCTTTAGTAAAGGGAAAAGGAGGTGGGCTGCCAAGAGAGGGTGGGGTGTGGTCTGTAACCCTGCTTCCGCACTGGGCGATGTCCCTAGCCTGTTTTGTTGTTGCTTTTTAATTTACGCAGGGTATTGTGAAGTTGCCCAGGCTGGGCTGGAACTCAGGATCCTCCTGCCTCAGCCTCCCAGATGGCGAGATTGTTGTTAAACTGGCTGAGTGATGAGCGGTCCCCACCTGCGCTTTAGGGAGCGCGACCTTCTGTCCGACGGGAGGCAGCCTGACCGCAGATGCGTCCGCGGACAGGCCCTGCCAAGGGGCGCAGGGGAGGCCCGCTGTGTATTGGGGGCGGCCGCGAGGCTGCGGGCGGGCACCTGCTGGGCTTCCGGGCGGCCCCTCGCGGAGTCGCGCAGCGTCTTCCGGCCCGCCCCAAGCCCAGGCTCGGGGCGCCCAGGGCGGAGCGCTGAGAGCTGGCGAGCCCAATTGCTGCGAGCCGAGCCGCTGCTGTGAGCGCCTGGAGGGGAACTCTGCGGGCCCGCCCACCCAACCCGCAGGGCACGCCCCCACGTCCTTGCCCCGCCCGTTAGCACCGCCTCCTGGCCGCCACCCGCCCCGCCTAGCCCTTCCCAAGCCCCGCCCTGGGTCCGCCCCCGCGTACCCCTAGTGTCCGAGCGCCGACTGCGTGCCTCCCGGGCCTAGAGCGTCACTCGCAGCCTTTTCCGGAGCCGAGTGCCCACTGCGTGCTGGGGCCTGCTCAGGAGGATCCTGCTGTGACCCCCTACTCGTACACTCCTGTTTCCTCCGCGCCCGCCAGCCTCTGGCCGCGTCCTTCCCAGATGGCCTTCCAGCCTCCTCCCCTCCCCACTGAGTCAGTTTTTCTGTTTCTAAACCACTTCTGCCTGTGTGCGTCGCAGAAGCTCGGCCAGAGGCGAGACATGTCTTCCTGGCTGGTGAGTCGCCTGGCGCCCCTGCTCCCCGCACACTTCTCCCCGTTCCAGGGACCTCAGCAGCGGAACCAGAGAGGAGCAGCCCCATCCCAGCCTGCAGCGCTGGCCTAGGACACGGGGACGTGGGCGGCCTGGGTCCTGCGTGGAGAGCCAGCGCCAGGTGTGGTGCTGGGGCCTCCTAGCACCGGGCGGGCTGGGCTTTCGGGGGGGCAGCTGGACTCTGAAACCCGATGCTTGCGAAGCCTCAACTCCCTGCCCTCTGAAGGCCAAGCTCCCTAGTGTCCTGGGGGATGTCCTTGCCCGGAGCGAGTCCGGACGAAGGTGCAGGCTGACCCTGAGCCCGAGCCCTTCCTTGCCACAGGCCCGATGGTTCCCCAAAACGCCAGCCAAGCCCGTGGTGGCCCAGAAAACGCCTATCAAGGTAGAGCTGGTGGCAGGAAAAACCTACAGGTGGTGCGCGTGTGGCCGAAGCAAGAACCAGGTGAGAAACAGGGGCTCTCTCCTTCCAGGAAGTAGCTGGCCAAGGTTCCCAGGCCTTGGACCCCATCTCGGGGACGATCCAGCCACACCAGTCCCCATCTTCCAACACCCTGGCCTTTCACCACAGATGTGACTTTGCCTTCTCAGCTTGCCACCCGCTGCTTGGCACACCTGGAGCCTCTTGTCCCAGCGTGAGCCCTGCCCTGCCTGGGTTCTTAGCCCGGGGCCCTTTCCTTCCTGCCTTCTGGCAGAGTTTACACCTGTGCTTCTTCTAGCCTTGTCGGTGGTGTCCGAGACCTGGCCCCCAGGCCCACTTTGGTGCTGATTTGTTGTAGCCTTCAGGCAGCTTTCCTGGGAGCGGCACCTGGGCAGCCAGCCAAGGAATGCTTGGGTGGGAGGTACCTGTGCCAGCACCCTGTGCCCTCTGGAACAGGTTATGGACTTTTATTTGCACCCCTCTGCCCCACCCAACCCTGGCTCTGCCTGACCAGCATCCAGGAGGGGCTCCAATGCCCCAGGCAGGCATGTTGCTGGAGGGCCTGGCCCTGACCCTGTCCCATGCCAGCAATTGCTTAGAGCCAAACTGAACTACTCCTAGCGCTTCCCAACCCCTGGTTTTTACTCTAGGAACACGGGGAAGGAAATGAATTTTAGGGACCTGTGGAGACTGTCATTAGAAACAGATCCTGTTAGTACAAACATCTCCTATCCAGTCTTGTCCCATCTTGCAAACTGTCCTTGGGTCCTGACCTTTTGGGTCCCCTCCAGACTAATGCTGTAGACACTGAACACCAAACCCCTACTCCAGGCAAAGTAAAGAGCATTTATTTATTTACTTTTTGGTTTTTATTATCTTGAGACAGGGTCTTCCTGTGTAGTTCAAGTTGGCCTTGAACTCATCATGTAACTCAGGCTGGCCTCGGGAACTTGTGGCGATCCTCCTGCCTAAGCCTCCTGAGTGCCAGGATTACAGGCGTGTGCCAATTACTTTTTTTTTTTTTTTTTTGGTTTTTGAAGACAGGATTTCACTGTGTAGTTCATGCTGGCCTTAAACTATGTAGCCCAGGCTAGCCTCAAACTCGCAGTGATCCTCCTGCCTCAGCCTCCCAAGTGGTGGGATTACAGGCATGCGCCACCACACCTGGATCATTACTTTTATTTCCTTCTGACAACCCCACTCCCAGAATTAAGGCCAGAGGTGACTGAGTAGCCCAGGCTGCCCCACCCAAGAGCTTGGCCCCATGACAAGTCTCCCAGTCTGGGCAGGCCAGCTTGGCTGACTCCTCTTTCTCTCTCATCAGCCCTTCTGTGACGGTTCCCACTTCTTCCAGCGCACAGGCCTGGCCCCACTCAAATTCAAGGCCCAGGAGACCAGCACGGTGGCCCTCTGCACCTGCAAAGCCACCCAGAGGCCCCCATACTGCGACGGCACCCACAGAAGCAAGCCGGTGCAGAAGGCAGAAGTGGGCACTGCACTCTGAGGCACAGGCCACTGCCTGGCCCCAGGTGGCCTGGGCTTCAGGCCCAGCAGCTGCCCCTTTGTGGGAAGGAAATCAGGTGCCGATCCCAAGAATGGGCCGTCCGGCAGGTCTCAAGTGCCCATGTCCAGCTTGTGAAGAAAGTCTCCACTGTAACTGGGGCACCTGGTTCAGCCTGTGCTGGGGAAAATGGCATGAAACAGCCAAGCCCAAGCACACCTGTCACTCCAGCACTCGGGAGGCTGAGGCAGGTGGACTGCCGCCAGCTGGAGGCAGGCCTGGTCTATGTACAGCAAGACCTTGTCTCAAAAAACAAAACCGAAAAATCAATAAATCAGCCATGAAGCCCACGTGGAGTGGTGTCCCTGAGGTCACTGGTGTGACGAACATGCAGCCTCCCTTCAGCTGGTGTGGCGTCAAGGGGGCCTGGCTCAGAGGGAGGGTCTGTCCTCCAGGGACCCGAGGCAGCTGCTCCCAGGCCGGAGCGCCTCCCCTCCCCTCCCTCTACCCCAAAGAAGACGGGCTCCAGAGTATGCAGCATTTATTACAAAGCCACGGGTACAAACGTCCGTCCACGGGGGAGGGTACAGTCACAGGTCCTCAGACAGACAAGGTGCAGCAAACACAGACAAGCCCACGGGTTGTGACCTCTGGCGTCCCCTCCACACCTGGGAAAGTCAGGTGGGTGGGGCACCACTCAGGGTGGGTTCTGGCTTTGTGCTTCCAGTTGGCTGTCACTGTCCAGACCTGGGGTTGGGAGAGGAGTGGAGTGGAGGCCATCTGCCTTTGGCAAAGCCTTCGGCCTGTGCTCCTCACTCTTCCACCCCAAGAGCTGTCGCCACCTTGCTAGGGAGGTTCCTGGCCAGGCTAGGGCGCAGGGGGTGAAGGGGTCCACAATGCTAAAGCCACACGGGTGCCCCAGGGCTGGGGCCTCTGCTTGGCCTCGACCTTCACTTCCACAAGATTACCAAGGCACAGGCCACACACTGGGCAGCGGGAAGGGCAGAGCTATCTGCTCAGTCAACAGCGGGTAAGGAGGTGCGGGAGGCTCTTTGTCCTCTGCCCGCCTGCTCCTTGGGACGGGGGCACAAACTGCACTTGGGAAAGGCACTGTCTTTGAGATTCTCTGCACATTCAACAATGTGGGGCAGGGCAGGGCAGGGCAGCACCCCGAAAGCTCGGTCTACAGCTCTGGGAGATGGTGGGGGCCCCAGACACACCATCTGCCCTGGGAAGCAGGAACTGGGCTAGGGCTTTGTGGAGCCCCCAGAGCTCCCTCATGTCCACCTCCAGGCACCTCCAAAAAGGATAGAGGAAAGTGGGGGGGGGTGCATGCCTGTAATCCCAGCACCTGGGAGCCTGAGGCAGGATTGCCACGAGTTCAAAACCAGCCTGGGCTACATAGCGAGACTCTGTCTCAAAAAAAACAAAAAAAGAAAAAAAAAAAGCACATTACAAAGACCCCCCCAAAATGAACACCGCATCCCACACATACATACACACATACAGTTGTTTCTTGTGGAATTTAAATTAATCTGGTTGGTCCATAGAAAATAAGTATGTATATTTGGTTTTTCCTATGTACATATATATATAGATTTATTTATAAAACCCGCCTCCCACCCCTAAGGTGGGAAGAGTCGGGGAGCAGAAGTGGTGGAAAAAAGGGGCCCAGAAAAAGTGAAGTAGAGAGGGGGTTGCCAAGGAGGGAGGGTCCCTTCCTCAAGTCAAGGGGGGCACGGGCACGCCGTTGACAGTCACCTTGCGCCCCCTGCTGGTGGAGGACGCGCTCTGCAGGCAGTTCGAGGTGCCCCCGTTGGCACTGGTGGTGGCCCCACTGGCAGCCGCAGGGGGTGTGGGGGAGGTAGGGTGGGTGGCCGGGGGCCCGTGGGAGCTGGGAGAGCCGTGGGAGGGGGTGGCAGGGCTGGGCAGGGAGGAAGAGGTGGCCGGCAGGGTGGCAGGACTGGGAGCCTTGTCGCTGACAGACTCACACTCGGAGGCCCCGCTGGTATTGGTGCCCTCGGAGGGGGTGGGCACCGTGGGCAGCGTGAGCCGCTTGCAGGCCGGCTGGACCCGGTACTTGAGGGGGAGGGGGCCGTTCTGCGTGGACAGGGAGGAGAGAGGCCGGAGGGGCGGGGTCAGGAGAGCCACGCCCAGGGGCTACCCAGCCCCACATGAAGACCCAGGGACAGAGGATGGGACGGACTTGCAGAGGAAAAAGGAGACGTGGACATAGCATTCCCTCTTCAGCAGTCACCAGGCTCCCCCACTTTTTTAGGGGGGTTGTTTTGAGACAGGGTCTTGCTATGTAGTTCAAGCTAGCCTCAAACTCACAGCAGTTCTCCTGCCTCAGCCTCCTAGGTGCTGGGTTTATAGGCGTGCGCCACCACGCGGGGATTTGAGGGCTGTTTCCGACTGGAGATCTGGGTGTGGAGTGGGCCAGAGGGGGGGGGGGTTCTGCTTTCCACTGCCCCGCCCACCCTACTGCTCACCCGCCGCCAGGGGTAGATGTAGGCGATGTCCATGAGCGTGTAGTACTCTTTCAGCGGCTCGTCGTCGTACAGCACCTCCACCTGGGGACCAGAGGGTCACCTGGTCAGTGACAGGGCTCTGACTGGGGGCTGGGCATGTCAGGGGCCAGGAGGTGGTGATGTGCAGGGGGCTCTGCATGTGGCACCTTCACCCGAGATCTGACGTCCCTGTCACAGCTGGCCTGGCACAGCACCTGACTGCCAGGTAGGAAGGAACCCCTCGAAAACGCCTCCTACATTAACAACCCGGCCCCATCCTACACTGCCTGGTCCCCTTCTGTCCTGCTCTTAGAACTCCAGGAATCCCTTGTTCAGCAGGCCCTGGGCAAGGCCCTCATTTGTTTGTGTTTGAGACAGGGCCTCGATATGTAGTCCAGGCTGGCTTCGAACTCACAGCGGTCCTCCTGCCTCAGCCTCCTGAGCACCACTGTGCCCGGCAACACTCCCGCTTGGAGAAGGCCGCCCTCACCTTGTACTTGCTGGGCACATCCATCTTGTTTCGGAGGAACTTGGCGAGGTGCATGACGGTCATGGCAGCTGGGCATCGCAGGAAGCGCACCCCGGTCTGCTGGGGAGGCACCGTGTGGGCCGGCCGGCCGGCCACTCCCTCCAGCCCACAGCCTTGCCCAGGCTGGCCCACACTCACCTTGTCCTTGTCCCCATCCCCGTTCTCCAGGGGCCCCTTCTTCTCCTCCTGGTCCCTGCAGGAGGAGGAAGGAAGCTAGAGACCCCAGTGCACACGGCCCCCGAGGGACGGCGACGTGCAGAATGGGAAGACCTGGCCGGACTTGCCTGGCGCCCTCGTAGAACTCGATGGAGAGGCTGACGATTTCGTCGTCGCTCAGGGCCCCTTTGTCCTGCTCCAGGACCTCGCCTCGGTCCTCGTTGGAGCCGTTGGGGACTGCAGGAGAGAGCTCAAGGGTTGGCTGGGGACCGGGAGGAGCTCCGCGAAGGACCAGGGGCCACGAAGCTGGGGGGGGGGGCGCAAGCCAGGCCCAGCAGGCGACACTCACCCTCGGTCAGCGGGTACGCTGCGTAGAAGTCGCGCCGCCGCTTCATCTCATCTGGGAGGGGGAGGAAGGCAGGGTGAGGGCGCCTCGGCTCGGCTGGGGAGAGGGGTGAGGGCAGAGGGCGGGGTGAGGGCAGAGGGCAGGGTGTGCAGTACCTTTGAAAAGCCCGGGCACCAATTTGTAGACGATGTCTTGGAGGGTTTTGTCAGACCTGGGAGAAGAGCCACACCACCGTCAGCTACCTCGCTGTGATCCCTTCAGCCGGGCCCTGCCCTTCTCCCTCAGATGCAGGTCTGGGCCCCCAAGTCTGACCGTCACCCCTCTAGATTCCCCCAGCCCACAAGCCAGGACTGTTCCCAGTAGGCCCATGCCCCGCTGGTGCCAACCCACTGCCCCGGCTGCAGGAGATGAGGGTGGCCGGGGACAGAGGGGGGCAGGGGGGCAGGCGGGCAGGCGGGGCAGGGGGGGCAGGGGGGCAGGCGGAGCAGGCCCACCTGATACTCAGCAGCGGCCGGGTCTTATGGACCTGCACGTCGCACATCGGGCAGTACTTGTTCGTCTCCAGGTAGCGCACGATGCAGGTTTTGCAGACTAGGGGCAGTGACAGGGAGGGGACCATCAGAGCCCCTTCCTCCCCCCAGCCCCACCCTGGCTCCGGTTCAGGCACCTGTCTGTCTGCTCTGTGCCCTGTCCCACAGCCCTGTCCAGAGGCCCCTCGTGGCAATGTGGCCTGCACACTGGCTACTTCCCCCATCCCTCCCGGGGCAGGACGGTTTTATGTGTGTAGGAAACACGTTGGGGTCTCAGGCAGCAGACTGTTCCACCCCAAGCCCAAGGGCCCTGTTAAGACACTACCTGAGCCCTCAACATCTTGCAACCAAGCCCACGGAGCCAACAAGGAGCATCTGGCTCTTCAGGGGGAAAATTTCAGCCTCAGAGATTCAAAAGAGAACTGAGATTTCTAGAGGCAAGCCAGGCATAGTAGCGGCACACCTGTAACCCCAGCAATCAGGAGGCTGAGGCAGGAGGATCGCCACAAGTTCGAGGCCAGCCTGGGCTACATAACGAGATTGTGTCTCAAAACACACACACACCCCAAAGCCCCCAAAAACAAAAAACAAAAAAGGATTTCTACATGTGAGTCCCCTAAATGAACTCCTGTTTGGAGACACCCTCACAAACTTCCCCCCAGACAGCCCTCCGTGACCCAGGGACACATGGCCACGTCTGCTCTCCAGGCTGGGGGCTGTCCTCAACCTCCCCGGCTGGTCCCCCCACCTCCCGCCCGGGCAGCAGCCCCAGCCCGACTCACAGGAGTGCAGGCACTCCACGATGGTGGTGGCATCAATGAAGTAGCCCCCGCAGAGGGCGCACATGAGGTGAGGGTTCAGCTCTGTGATTTTGATCCGTGTAGTCCGATGCATGATGCTGGGGTGGGGTGGGGGGCTGGGAGTGTCGTCCTGGGAAACCGAAGCAAGCGGAAGGAGAAACTGAGAAACTCCTACCCGCACCTGAATCCATTTCCTGCTTGCATGCGGCCCTGTTTGCTGAAGCCTAAGGGTTCATGTGACATTTGAGCAACCAAAAGTCAGGTGTAGGGGAGCACATCTGTAATCCTGGCACTCAGGAGGCTGAGGCAGGAGGATCCCCATAAATACAAGGCCAGCCTGAACTACATAATGAGACCCTGTCTTGGGCTGTGTGTTCAGCCTAAGCCTGGCACTCAGGTGGGACATGGAGGATGCCCAGTCCATGCCCTGGATTGGGACACTCAGCTCTAGCTCTGCCCCAGCAGTCAAGGGGCCTGGGCAAATGACTGCTAGTGCCCTGGGCATGGAATCCTCCTCCTGTGCCTGACAGCGCGCAGACAGGAACTCCACATGTGGGCACGGTCACCATCTCCCGCCCTGGGGACACTGCTGCTACCTGTCCCCGGGCTCTCCCCGCTGCCTGCCAATGCTTGCCTGAGCACCTGGCCGGGCTGGCGGGACCGGAGGTCAGTCCGGGGTGCCCCAGGTGTGCTGCGGTCCCTCCATCCCGGTACAGATCCAGCCCGAGCCCAGACTCGCCAGGCCACCTTCCCTCTTTCCCAGTGTAGAAGCCCAGGGGTGGGGCCCAGGAGGGTGGCCAAGCCCCTGCAGTTCCTTTACAACTCGCTCACACCCTGCTCTCTTCTCCAGAAAGATTTCTAAAGCCAGGACACTGAGTTTTCGAGGATGTGAAATTCGCAGCCAGGATCAGCAGTTTCTATAGAGACCCCAGGATGGGCCTGGCCAGGCCCCAAGCAGCAACAGAGGCCCAGGGCACCTGGCCAGAGACGAGAGTGAGGAGACACAAAGGGCACACATGGGACAGAGACCCGCGTGCAGGGCGACAGAGGGGACCCTATTGGCCCCAGAGGCCTGCAGGTGAGGGGGCTCCTGACCTGCATGGGGTGGCCTTGGCCAGCCCTCCCTGCATGGGTCCCCCGCACAATTATGCAGAAGGCCGCTGGCTACTCCACTGTTTGGCCGTTTCCATAGCAACCCAGTCCCTGGCAGGATGCCCAAATATTATTACAACCATCCAGAGAACAGAAGAGACTCCAAGTGGCTGTCTCTTGAGTGTGTGTAATCCCCATGGCACGTGGACGTGCCGTACACTCAGTGTGGCCATGTGTCCTGCAGGTCCAGATGTGTCCACAGGACACACATGTATGGCCAGAAAGACATCTGGCGGGGGTCCAGGCTGCGAGAGCCAGCCTTTGCACACCTCTCTCTTGCCTGTATACACACATGAACACGCCTGCACACAAGCACGAGGCTCCACCCCGCCTTGGCCGCCTCATTCATACCGCTCTTAGGTACACACAGGCGTCCCCACCGCAAATGGCTGTACCCCACTCCCTCTCCTTCCCTGGAGAATTCAGATCGGCCACCCCCAGGCCCCTCTGGATCCAGGGCCCAGGGAGGAAAGAGTGGTGTTGCTCCTCCTGCTCCCCCTCCCATCCCAGGAGACCTCCAAAGGCCACCTCTGGGGTGGGGGTGGGGGAAGCACTGATTGGCCTCTCACCTGGTTGCCATGGTTACCTGGAGGGCCTGTCAGCAGGTGCCTGAGAGCACGGTAAACAGGAGCCCTTCCCCAGAGCTTGCCTCCCCACCTTCCTGGGCCCCAGCCCAGGTCCTCCCCAGGGGGCACAGTGGCTGTGCAGTGGGCCAGAGCAGGAGGAGTGATGTCCCGATGCCGTCACTGCAGGGGACAGGATGGGACTGGGGAGGACCTGGGGGGGAGTAGGAGAAACAGCTCCCAAAAACCAGAAAACACAGACAGTGCCATTTGGAAGTGAGCCCAGGGAAGTGAAGCGTGCTTTTCTTGGGGGAGGAGTACTGGCAGTTGAATCCAGGGTTTTTGCACTGAGCTACATCCTCAACCCTTTTTAAAATTATTTTTTTTGTTTGTTTTTGGGACAGGGTCTCCGAAGTCACCCAAGCCAGGCTTGAACTTTCCTTCCTCCTTCCTTGGCTCCAAGAATGCTGGGGTATGAGGCCTGCGGCACCCTGCACGGCTCTGGGGGAATTTAACAAGCCAGTTCCCACTGCAGGATGTCCAGCCAGGGCTCTAGACACCACCTCTCCCTGCACTGGCACACCGTGTGCCCCAGCCGGGGTCCAGGCCCTCCGTGTCTTCTGCCCCAACCCCGACTTTCCTCACCACTCCTCCAGGTCAGCCCAACAGAGCTCCCACACCTCTCACTTCCTCGTGGCCACGGGTCCCCAGGGAGGCCTCTCCTGTCAGTGTCCCCGTCCCCTGGATGCCTGGACACCAACTACTGCACCTCACCCTGCCTGTCCCCCACTCAACTGTGAGTCTCCAGGTCTTGCAGGAGGCACTCAAGGTCACACTTAGATGTCTCCCTAGCAGAGGTGGATGCGATCTTAGAAAGCGCGACTTGTCTGAAGCCACACAGCAAGGCAGTGTGGTCCTGGGACAAGACTCTGCCTGCCTCCTGCTGGGGCGGGGCTCCCCACGGCCGCCTAACCCCATCAGGCAGTGGGTGGCTACCCGGCCTGGAGGAAGACCACACAGGGGCCCTCCCGGGAAGGGGGTCCCAGTCTGGCCACAACAGGACCCTCGGCACCCACTGAGCCTTGAAGAAGGAAGAGAGGAGGGCGTCGCAGTTCAGGCCCTGCTCTGAACCTCTCCCAGCTTTGTGGGCCCAACTGTGTAAACCACAGGGAGTTCCATCTGTTCCAAGATGTGGGGCTTGCCCTGGGACACTGTGACTCTCAACTCTATTTTCTCTGATCTTTTTTCCTCACTACTAGGGATTGAATCCAGGGCCTTCCCATTGAGCTACATCCCCAGCCCCCTTTTTATTTTGTATTTTGAGACAGACTCTCACTAAATCACTAAGTTGCCCAGGCTAGGCTCAAACTTATGATCCTCCTGCCTCAGCCTCCCAGGGTGCTGGGATGACCATGCTAGGCTTTTCTCTAATCAGTGACACTGGCACAGGGCTCTGCTTCCTTGTCTGTGTTCCCCACCAAAAACAAAACAAAATAAAACAAAAAGTATCTGTGGGAAAAGGCCTCGTGCTTCCTGAAACTGGGCTTATTCTATCTACCCGATCCTGGCTTTTCCATCTCTCAGTAGCCTAAGATCAAAGACAAAACCCCAAAACATACACACAGAGCAACAAATGGCCAGACACACCCCCTCCCTCTCACACTCTAAACCAACACGCGTGCGCGCACGCACACACACACACACACACACACACCCAGCCCACGCTGACATCGCTGCTTGAAACCAGCGTGGCACACACCATCCTTTTGTGTCCCGGGTCCTCCCAGGGTAAATTAGAACCTTCGTCTTCCGGCAACAAAGGCAGCTCAGCTGCCACCCCCTCTGGGCCGAGCTGACCAGCACAAAGATGCAACCTCTTCCTGTTCAGGTCTCTCCGTTCCCATGACAACGGCTGCATCAACCAAGATCTCTCTGGGAGGCCGGGGCAGCCGCGTGCCCCTTCCTCCCCACCGCCCAAGACTTCAACTTGAACCGTACCAGAGTCGACTGGGCTGGATCCGGACGTCTGTTTTCTGCCTCTTTCCAAACACGCTTCCAAGGCCTCAAGCCCCAACCTCAAACCAGGGGATCCCCTGGGACACCCTCCCCCCCCAAAAGCTCTAACAGAGCGGGCTTTATACAGTCTCTCCAAGTACTGCGGTACTAACACCTCGCAGGCAAGGCGGAGGGAGGGGGAATCAGAGTTTCAGGAACAGCGAGAACTGTGAGAGCCCAGAGCCGAGGCCCCTCCCCAGCCAGAGGAGCCCCGGAGAGACTGAGGCAGCGTGGGGGGCGGAGCAGGGGCGCTGGGAGACAAAGACCCCAGGAGAGCCCCGGGAACACTTCTGAAAGATTTGTAGGCAAATCGGCCCACTCTCGGAGCCTCCAGCCCACCTTCAAGACGGGAGGAATTCCGGGCAGAGGGAGGCTGGAGAAAGAAGGAAGGGGCGGCCGGAGCCGGAGGGTCTGGGGTCCAGGCCCTGGGGGTAGCAGCAGGGGGACCTGAGAGGGAAGGAGGGGACAGACAGTTCATTAGACTCTCCCTGATTCCCCGCTGGTGAGGGGAAACAGCGCAGTAATCTCCCCACTTCCACTCTCCCCCTGCACCTGGCTTCCCTGGGAGTCCGGGTCAAGGATCAGGACCCCCAGCGACTCGCTGCCCCGCGCCTCCTCCCCCGGAGCCAAACTTTCGGCCCGGCGGGGGGGGGGCGTCCTGCACAGGGACCCGGGAAGGGGAACGCTGGGGGAGGTGTCCCGAGGAGGGGACCCCGGGAGGGAAGGGCGCCCTCCCCCGACCTCGCGGGCCCCGGAAAGCCCGGTCCCCTGGCTCCCGGCCGCAAGTTCGCGAGCGTCCGCAGCGGCCCGGTGGCCGCGGGAGAGGCGCCCCCTGCCCAGACCTTTTGGGGTCATCGGCTGGAGCCAGGGGGCGCGCGGGCTCGTGGGGAGACGCGGAGGGCCGAGGGCCTCCCCCAGCGTGTCCCCGGAGTTCTCGGGGACGCCCGGGACCCTCCCCCTCGCCGCCTCGGACGCCGGGGTCTACCCGGGGGCTGCCGCACAAAGAGGAGGTGGTCGAGGGCGACGCGGATCCGCGGAGAGGGGGAATCCGCTTCGGCCATCTTGGAAGGGAGGAGAGGGAAAGGGACAGAAAGAGGGGAGAAAGGAAGGCGCGGGCCGGGGGCGCGGGGGGCGGGCGCGGCCCGGGCTGGGCTCCCGCGGGCTCGGGAGAAGGGCGGATCGGGCCGGGTGTCTCCGTCCAGGCCGGCCGGCGGCGGGAGCCGGGAAGGACGCGCGCGGGTTCCCTTACCTGGGATCGGGGTCCGGCGGGTCCCGGGGAGGGGGATGGGAGGGAGGGAGGGAGGGGAGGGGGCCGCGGCCGCGTCGCTCGCAGGGCGCGGGAGGGGAGAAGCCCGCGGCCAGAAAGGAGTTTGCGAGCGCCGAGGGGTGGGAGGGAGAGAGGGGCGGGGAGGGGACGGGGGAGGAGAGCCCGGCGTGGGGGCACAAAATGGCTTTTTTCCTCCAGACAAGAGTAGTCCCGCCCACTCCTCACCCACGTGACCTCATTCCTTCAGGGTGTTTGCTGCGAGAAGCAGAAAAGGGGGAGAGGCCAGCGCGCGGCTCCCTTCGCTGGGCCCGGGGCCCCCAAATCAGGACGAGACCCCTCTTTCCCAGACGCCCCCCTCCCCGGACCTGGAGGGTAGAGGGAATCCTGTCCGGTGATGCTGTGAGACGAGCCCCCCCCCCCCAAACGCGTCCCCCCACGGACCCTGCGATCCCCACCCTAGCTGGAAAATGGGGCGCCTGGAAAATGGTGAATGAGGACGGGGCGGAAATGGGGCTCGGAGCCTCCCCGCCTCGGCCTCCCCAAAGGGCGCCTCCGTGGGGACGCGGCGCCTGCAGCCACACGTGCAGGTGTTTTCCGTCCACTCCGGCGGACTCTCCATAAACCACGACCTGCGGTCGCGAGCACGGGGCGGGATCGGAAACGCAGCGCAAGGCCTCCCGGGTGGAGTTTGGGGTGGGGTCCCGGGGCGGGGACCTCGGCTGGAGACCCAGAGGGGCTGCCGTAACCGGCGGGATCGAGGGCCCCGACGGGACAGGGAGATGCGGACAGCGGCCCGCGCTTTCCTGGCCTAGCGCCGGTTCTCCCACTTTGCGCCCCCGTCTCCGCCTCCGCCGGGCGCCGCGCTCGGTCCTGGAGGCTCTGGTCCGAGGGCCGGGACCCGCCTGGGGACGGGGAGCCGGCGCCCGGGAGCGAATCGATGCTGCTGCGGCGGTGACCGCGGGTCTCGGTGAGAACGGTCGATCCCCTCATTCAGGTGCTGAGGCACTAGGGACGGCCACCATGACTGTCCGCCTAAGAGCTCGCGCCGTGGAGCGCCCTGCAGGGGTTGGCCCGACTTAAGACTCGGGTCTCCTCTCTGGATCCCCAGGCCGAAGCCTTGCTCGATCAGGCTGGCTGGCGAGTGCCTCCGCTTGAGAGGCCGGGGGACCTGATTCCTGCCCGGAGCGAGTGGTCCCCAACCCGCGGGAAAGTCCTCGGGAGCGCGCGGTCACCTGCTCTCTGGTCGCTGCACCGGGACAAGGGCTCTCGTGGACAGAGGGCCTTTGGCGTGGACACGCCCACTGTCCCCGGGCAGGCTTGCAGTCAGCATTCTGGACTTTGCCAGGGAAGACTCGGGCATCTACTCAGTGCGAAGGGGAGCGCGACGGGGATTCCCAGTCTGCCTCTCCAAACCTGTCTTGGGCCCACCCGCAATCACACAGGCACTGGGGAGGACCCACTGGAGCTGGAGGAAAGGGCTGTGTCTGCTGATTAATCCTGGAGGACTGCCTCTGCAGGCCACCAGGCTAAGCAAGGAGGGTGGGCACCGCTCACTTATTCCCCAGACACTTAATAAGGGACAGTCATGAGCAACGCTCTGGAGAGGAGCATGGTGAAGCCCTGCTACCCACTAAAACTGATTTAATTTTCCCCGGGATGACTGGCCTCGGGTCCCAGGCCTTTCTGGGGTATCAGGATCTTGGACTTGGCTCTTCCCACAACTGAAGTTCCCTGTTTTCCCAGTTTTTATTCTATGAACCCTGCGATCTGCCAGTGTCACACATTGTGCTGGGCCCCGGCAGATGAAGGCCCCCAGGCTTGTCCCAATGGCATGTGACACGGTGAGCATCGGAGGGAACTCCAGAAGAGGCCTCCCTGGAGGCTGGCAGAGCACTGATTCTGAGTCCTGTGTGGCTTCTCCACGAAGGCACCCTGGACCACTGGACCACGCTTCTGCAGACACCGGAAGAAACCGGTTTTCTAGCTGACAGCTATTCATCACAGTCACTGTGTGTCACGGGTTAGTGGTCCCAAAGGGCTAGACCTGGGAAATCTAGGCAGTTGTTTTTTGTTTTGGTTTGGTTTGGTTTTTTCCACCACAAACTGAAGGCTAGCATTTGGATAAGATCCTTTAAAAAATGGTGACAAGATGCTTTCCTGAGACCTTTGCTTCGGTGTCCTTTACAGCTTTCCTGTCTCCCCAGATAATGTCCTTTGTCAGTCTCCCCTTGTCTCCGTCCTCCTCCCAGCGCCTCGGAATGTGTATCTATTGTTTTGCTGGTTTCCTCTTCTGGCACCTTTAGGCAGTCATTTCCCATCCCATCCCATTTTCTCGGGGTCTTCTCCCGCCCCCTGCCCATTTCTGTGCCGCGTTCACTTTTTCTTTTTCTGTGAATCACAGCTCGGTCCCTCCTCTCACCTTTATCTACATCCTTCATCTGTCTCTCACTCTCCTTACTTTCCTTCCTTCCAGATGTAACATTTCGAGTCTGTAACATCCAGAGATAGACAATGGAGAACTATCCAGCCTCCACTGCAAATTCATTCTTAATCCGATGAAAAATGTATCGGGAAACAAACACCTCAGTCCTTGGTTTTGGAATTCAGCTCCCGAGGAGAATAGTGCGGTGACATGCGGGAGAAATGATCACATCCTTGACAACGGATTTCCAATCACAATCACCTGATTTGCAGTAGAAAAAATGTTGCCCTTACCATTTTACTATAAAATGTGGCTGCTGAGTGATTGTGATTTAAAAACAGACCCGATCCCCTGGAAAAAAACAGAGCGTCCCTGGGTGGGCTCGAACCACCAACCTTTCGGTTAACAGCCGAACGCGCTAACCGATTGCGCCACAGAGACCGCGGTGACTGCTGGGGTGGCAGACAGCCGAGTCAATGGGAGCGAGGCCAGCATGGCTCGGGGTAGGGACTGTGCAGCTTCGAAACCGGGCGAAAGAAATCAGACTAAGCACAGGACCCGGGCGCGGGCTGCAAGGAGTCTGCGCCCCCTATCCTCAGGATGCATCCTGGATGTGGAGAGGCGGGAACGTTTTGTAGGGTGATCTGAAACTCGGGGCTACATTAAGTCGACTTGAAGGGGGTCCCCCAAAGCAGAACCACCCCTCGCCTCCCCTTTTCAGCTGGAGCCTTGAAGCTACAGGACACCCGCGACGCTCTCGCCTCCCCCTCGCAGCACCGTCCAGTTTCACTTATGGGCGCCTCCCAGAGACCAGGCACTGTCCCGGCCAAGCGAATAACCGAGCCTCGACAACGCCCGGCTCTCGGAGCCCTACGCCTTTCTGGAATGAATGAAGCAAGGAGTATGAGTAATAAGCCCAGGGGAGCGAGTAGATTAGCGCCACTGCGGCCCCTCAGCCAGGGCCTTGGCCCCCAGCCCGGCTTCGCCCGCCCACGTGCGTGCCGGCCCCGTCCCCAGCGCGTCGCCCTGACTCCAGGTCCGCCGCGATCCCGGCATGCACCCGACTCCAGGCTCTTCCGCGCTCACAGTGACTTTTCACTTTCCGGTTTCCCCACTCCGTTTTGGCCTCTCAACCAAACTACCCCGTACAGTTGACTGACGGGAGGCAGGGCCAATAGAAATTTGAAGTGACCGGGCCGAGTCGGATGATCAGCCAATGGAGTGAAAGCAGTGAAAGCATTAGAGCAGTAATAGCTGGAACTGGTGTAGTGGAATTGCAGTGGCGATCGCGAGTCCTTAGTCGACATCAATCATGGTGAGATGGGGCAAGGAAAGGGGGCAACGGCTAGGAGTTCAGACACAGGGAGGGGATACGGCCAGGCTGGGGGACGGAGAGGGCCTGGCGTTCGATAGATGCAAGAGGCTTCAATTTGAAGGGAGCGGACCGTGGGGAGGACCATGAGTGCGGCTCCAGGCTGCTACGCGGGGCCCATCTCAGAGCTGGAGAGCGGGGCGTCCAGGCGACCCCAGAGTGAAGGGCGGGGCGAGCAGGAGCAGCTTTTGGCCCCTGGCTCTGAGCCTCCCCGCTTTGTGTGCCCAGTCTATTATGTCCTATAACGGAGGGGCCGTCATGGCCATGAAGGGGAAGAACTGTGTGGCCATTGCCGCAGACAAGCGCTTCGGGATCCAGGCTCAAATGGTGACTACGGACTTCCAGAAGATCTTCCCCATGGGGGACCGGCTGTACATCGGCCTGGCCGGACTCGCCACCGATGTCCAGACAGTGTAAGTGCCAAGGGCCCCGCCCACTCTCAGGCCTCTGCTTGGGCCAGCCTTGCCTGGCACTTGAACGCCATAGGTATCAGTCACCTGGTAAACACTGCCCGTGAGTCTGAGCCTGCCAGATGCACCCTCAGCGACACAGAGTTGTACCCCAACCAAATTTCACTCTTCCGGGCGTTACCAGCTTCCTGTCCCACTTTACAAATGGGGAAACCGAGGGTCTCGGAGCTCATCGTGTC